CCGCCCCGAGCCCCTCGCACCTTCGCCCGGGTCGCGGCGCGCAGCTCGCCGCCGAGGGCAGAGAGGGGGCGGCGGCCTGGGGGCGGGGAGGGGACCGCGCCGCTCTCCCCGGGCTTCCTCCTCTCTCGGGAAGGTCTATTTTCGCTCAGCTTCCCTCTGTCTCTGGTTTCATTTCCTTTTTCCTGATCACGATTCAAATACAATAGAAGGAAATCACATTTAAAGAGACAGCTGCCCAGTCCCCCCTCCCCTTTTTTCTTCCTTTTTTTAAAACGGGGCTCCTGGGGATTAGCAATACAAACAGCGGCATCAGGACTGACTTGGCTTCTTAAAGGGACCAGCGTCGGGGACGGGGACAGTCGCTCGGCGAACTCCTCTCCTTGGAGAGGAGGCTGGGCAGCTACTAAATCATTCTTTAGGGCTTCCCCTGTTCCGCGTTTCCCTTTTGGTGTAACTAAGGCTCAAAGTAGCCAGCAGGCAGCTCAAGCAAGCAAGAAAAGACAAGAATGTGAAATAAGCACCTACAGAAATGCAAGCGCTCCGAGTGGCTTTCGCGCGCGTCCCGGGTTCGAGGTCCCAGGTCCACCGACGCGGGGCACGGGGATGTCCCGCACAGCGCGACTCTGCCGGCGGGCTTGTGGCTGCGTCCGCGCTGCAGAGGGCAAGTGGAGCGGTGCGAGCAGGGATCGCAGTGGCTGGGCGCGCCTGAGCAGTGTCAGGGGCCGCCAATCCAGGAGGGAGGGTGGCTGGCAGAGGCCGCGCGGGGCATCTGCTGGCAGCAGAATTGCCTCCTGCAGCATCTTTCAAAGAGCGGACTCCTGCGGCTACACCGGCCCCCTGTAAAGTGCCAGTCATACCCCGACCGGGGAAAGTGCTTTTGAGATGATCGAGAACATTGCTTGGGAGATTATTTTGCCCTAGGTCAGGCAAAGAGAAAGAAGGCAGACTGGATTTGGGGGTTCAGGTTTCTCCTCCAACCTAGAGGGCAGGTTCTGGGAAGAGGCAGGAATGCAGAAGGGGAGAGTAGGAGGTTAATAGTCCGCCCTTCCATCGAGAAAAACTTTGGTTTCCCTGGGCCTCAGAGTTCCTTGAAAATGTCTGTGTTTAGAAATTATTATTAAATGCTTATTTGTGCATGATGCTGGTCACGAGGCTTGTGGAGAGTACTTTCAGAATCCATAGTTTTATATGAACAGCCTGGATCATGGTCATAGATAGGAATTTTATCTGCATTTTAAACTTGGCCCTGATGGGCCTGGATGAGCTCATCCTGAAGAGTGGTGGTTGAAATCAGGAGAGAATCCCTAGATGCTCCGTTGTCCCTGTTCAGAACCAAATCCTCATTGACTTTTCACAGGTATAACCAGAATTTACTATTGTCTCTGTGTCCCAAAGCTTGGGTCCCTAAAGTGTGTAATTAAAATCTGTGTATGTATGTGTGTGTGTGTGTGTGTCCAAGGAAGTCTTGAGGACAGCTTTGAGTCCAAGTCAGGCCTTCAGTATATAAAAAGACATTTTCCTCATCAGATCCTTGCTTTTCATGAAAAAAAGAAAATGACTAGAATTCTTAGGCATGACTAAATTAGGTGACAAATATATAACCTGCCACTTAACTATAATTCCTAACAGAAATAGACATTTTCCTCATCAGATCCTTGCTTTTCATGAAAAAAAGAAAATGACTAGAATTCTTAGTCATGACTAAATTATGTGACAAATATATAACCTACCACTTAACTATAATTCCTAACAGAAATGCAAATAGACATGTAGGTTGTAATGAACAACAGTTTATCTACTTATAACCAGTTAATGTGGTGGTTAAATGTTAGGACTTTGGAACGTGACTGCCTGCGTTTGATTTAGGCTTTTATTTATCTGCTAGTGTGGCCTAGAAAAATGACTTAATCCGAGGAGGCAGTATCGGGTAGTGGCACCTGTATTAACCTACCCTTTACCACCTGTGTGAACCTGGACTAACTAACTGCAGGAATTGAAACTCCCGGTATCCTCATCTGTAAAATGGGGATGACATAGGTTGTTGTGAGGATTAAATGAGTTAATGCTTGCAAAGTGTGTTACATAGATTTGTAATGGAATGGGAGTAATAATAGATAGCAGGTTGATTGCAGCTGGCGTAGATTAATTACTCATAAATGGTGGCTGCTGTTATAGCAAAAGACATCATTGAGATAATTTTAAAAGGGTTGAAATGAATTTTAAAGCTGAAATAGGAGTTTAAAATATGAATTTCCCACCCAAATTCAAAAACTATTCTCTGTTTTTTAAAAACAAATAGCCGGGCTGGCCCGGTGGCGCACTCGGTAGAGTGCAGCGCTTGGGAGCATGGTGGCGCTCCCACCGAGGGTTCGGATCCTGCGGTGCGGGTGCGACACCGAGGGTTGCGATCCCGTTGCCGGTCACGAAAAAAGACAAAAAAGGAAAAAAAAAAAAAAAAACAAATAGCGCAGAGTCCCCTTACCTTAACTCCTTACTGCTCCTAAACAAAACATATAACATTTTCCATTTTAATGTTCATTATCTTGGTGACTAGATGATACGTTTGCTTCTGCTTGCTTTTATTAAATCTGATAAGTTTCTATAGTTCTTGCTACAGTTTTGCATGGGGCCCAAGTCAGTTGTTAAAATAAATGTCCTTGGGTTCTAGGAGGTAACCTGAGAATAGCCAAATTTGGGGCATAAAGTTTCCTTTTAATAATATGCTTCTGCTTTGTCCTGAGTGTGCAAAGAAAAAGAGATTACTGTGTGCGACTTTGGGTCAGTTTCATATCTTTCACAACTCTTTGGGGAGAACTTCCTTAGAGAAGGTGAATATTTGAAATGGTATCTTAAGATTTCAATTTCACACACAGTGGTTGTAAGAAATAACTGCCTACCGGTGGGATTTCATTTCTATTCAGTGGGCAATTAGATTGCTCAAATTTAAGTTTACCATTTAGATTCAAGTCTCAGAATGTGTTTTTATTATGAATAATTTTAAAGCAATCATGACCTTATTGTACCTTTCCATACCAACCAGTATCTGTTTTATGCAGAAGAGAGACTCGGTGACTATGAAGAGATTTGAACATGTTAAACAGTTCTTGAGAGCTGAGGACATCTGTACTGGATCCCTGTCCCGTGGGACTGAAATTTAATTCCTTCTCCCTGTCCCCCAATTCTTGCAAATCTTAAATACCCTAAAATTTAGAAATGTTTAAAGTTTTTCTTCTTGAATCAGATTCAGAAGATTGAATCAGTCTGCATGATGAATCTGACCCCAGATGGATTATTTTTTTTCCTGTGGGCATTTTCTGTGCTTCTTGTTTATTACCTTTACAATTGTTTTCTAGAGAAGAACAGTTTCAAGTGACTAAGGCTGCATTCCTTTGCTTAAATAGACTTCTATAGATATGAAAATGCAAATGTCATTCTGAAATGCCAACAATGACAATTTACTTCTTTTTTTGTTTGTTTTCAACCATTAGAAGCCAGGTTGCAACATATACCTTATTCATTGTGACATTCACATATAGAAACAAAAATAAAGCTCTATCTTAATATGGCTTCAGCCCTAAATCTTTAAACTATTCAGTTGTCACAGGCATTTGGCTGCCAAACACATTTCAGAACATTTTGGGGCCAGTTGATAGATAATGTTTTCATAGAATGTTAGACCTATTAGTAACCTTAGTGATCAAAAAAAAAAAAAAAAAAAGAAAAAGAAAGAAAGAAAGAAAAATTAGGTTTTCTAAACAGTGGAAAAGAACTCAAAGTAAATCTTAAAAAAAAAATCCATATCAACTGAGTCTTAAGAGAATAAGCATAGGAGTCAGATAGCTCAGCTGTTTACTAGCTGAGTGATTTGGGGAAAGTTACTTCATCTCTCTGAACTTCAGTTTCTGTATCTATCGAATTGAGGTAACAGTAAGGCTCAACAGGGCCAGGACTAGCATGAAACCACTGGGGTGCCTGGTTACCTCATAGGATTTTTCAGAGGATTCAATAGGGTAATATGGGTAAAAATGCTTTGCACAGTGAGGGTGCATAGTAAATGCTCAGAAATGACAGCTGTTGCTATTACCCCATCTTGCAGAAGTAATCACCAGTGTATCAGGAAGCAACAATCTCACAGCCAGCCCAGACATCCACCAAAGAATGCTGAGACTGGGATGCTGTAAAAGAGCCGGAGTGAACCTAAGGCATCAGCCGGCCCCAAGCTTGGGGAGCCCCCATCTTTCAGCAGGAAATTCAGGACTGGGCCTATTTGCAACCTGGATAGGCTGCTGACAGTGTCATTGCCTCCATACTAAACTGCCTACTTCAGCCACATCCCCGATTTTATTCATCTGATCTTTCCCCAACTTCTAAACCACCTTTTACAACTAAGAAGAGGCAAAATCAAGTGTTTCCTCTGCCTGAGATGCTCTTTCTTCTAACCATCCTATGGCTCCCATGTATTTCATTCAGGTCTCTGTTCCAGTGTTTTATCCTCAGAAGGGCATTTTAAAATCCCTCTTGTCATCACTCTCCATCCCCTTATCCTGCTTTGTTTTTCTTCTTAGTATCATCACTATTTCCTCTTTACTGTATATGTGTGGGTAGGTTTCTTGTGTGTTTTGTTTTGGCCTTTCCTCCCAGCTGGAATGTAAACTCCGTGAGGGTACAAACTCTTTCTGACTTGTTCCCAGGTATGTCTTCAGCTCCTAGGATGTGTCTAACACAAGGCTGTCCCTCAGCG